GAGAGAGGGAACACAAGCAGGGGGAGTGGGAGAGGGAGAAGCAGGCTTCCCGCGGAGCAGGGAGCCCGATGTGGGGCTCGATCCCAGGACCCTGGGATCATGACCTGAGCTGAAGGCAGACACTTAATGACTGAGCCACCCAGGCGCCCCTAGATCTAAGTTTAAGCATTAAAAAAAAGCCCTTCAAAGTAGCAGAAAAAATCTTAAGAAAACTACTTTGTAATCTCAGAGTAGAGAAGACCTTTCTAAACATGACATCAAACATAAAAACCATTTTTACTTTTATTTTTTTAAGATTTTATTTATTTATTTGTCAGAGAGGGAGAGCAAGCGAGAAAGAGCACAAGCAGGGGGATCAGCAGGCAGAGGGAGAAGCAGGCTTCGCACTGAGCAAGGAATGTGGGGCTCCATCCCAGGACTCTGGGATCGTGACCTGAGCCAAAGGCAGACGCTCAACCAACTGAGCCACCCAGGTGTCCTAAAGCCATTTTTAAAAAAGAGAAAATATATAGTGAGAGATTAAAGCTATGATATCTTTTTTTAAAACCTGTTCCTTATGTTGACAAAGTATATTGTAATAGGCAGTTATAAATGTATCCCTGGGTGTCTGAATCAGTACAACATTTAGGAGGGCAGTTTGGCAATATTTTAAAGGCAATTCCACTTCTATTTGTATTATATAAATATATGGATACACACATACATACATACATATATATATCCTTTTGTGATGTTTAAATTCTGTTCCACGTGCATGCATTGTTTTTTAGAAAAAATATTTAAAGGAAAAGGATAATGACAAGCAAGATTCAGAAGTTCGGTACGATGTGAAGTGAAAAATAAAGGAAGAAATTGGGGATCTTTGTAGAAAAAGACTTGAGGTACCATTCAAATACCAAAGTGACAGTCACTTCATTAGTGATTTATATGACACCCTAGGGAAGGAAGGAACAGTGGGGAGAAACTGCAGCTCAGCATGAGGACAAAGACACTTTCAGGGAAGCTGTGTGATTCGTTAGTTAAGATCATGAACTTCAGGTCAGACAGACCTGGACTTCAACCCCGATTCATACTACCTGTGTGAGCTTGGACAAATTATTTAACTCTCTGAGTCTCAGTTTCTTCATCTGTAATATGAGGATAACGCCTCACAGAATCGTCATGAGGAATAAAGGAGACCATGTATTTAAAGGGGCTTAGCCGAATGCTGGCACATCCCAACTGCTTGACAAATGGTAGCTCTTGTAACCACCAACAGCAGAGATGTCCAGAGATGGGGCTTTACTGGCGAGGTGATGAGCGCTCCATCAGGAGGGGCGTTCGGGGCCAGGCTGAATGGCTCCTGGGTAGGGATATTATAAAGACATAAGCAACAGGAGGGTGGTACTAATGACCTTTAAAGGTCTTATCCAACCCTGAAATTCTGGAACTCTGTGAAAATGAAGTTCTGAAGGCAAATCAGACCCACTGCAGTCTCCTTAACTACAAAAAGAAAATGCCCAATAGAGTTGGAGCAACCCTCCTGCAAACAAGTAACCAGCAAGGGAGTTATCATTCTTCCTGAGTCTGAGAGCAGAAGTCTGGTCCTTCTTGTGCTGACGTTCTTCCACTCTCTCCAGCATCCTTATTCCCCCGAGAAGCCTTTTGTGCCTCTCTCTGCATAGAGGCTGCAAGGACTGGTTCTGTTCTGTAAGAAAAGAGTGTGTGGGGAAGAGGAGAAAACAGACCTACTGCCGGACAATTATTCCAGTATTTCTGCAATCTGCTGGAGAGCCATGTGCATGCCGCCTGAGAGTCTTTTATTTTTTTGATTCAAGTACAGGCTTTGAAAAATGTAAATGAGGCTCTGACTTGGCCTTTTCCTCTTTTGCTAATAAACAATCAGTAAGTTGAGTAACAGGAACAAGCACTTAATGGAGAGAGAGAAGAATTCAACCCCCCAACGAGACACACACACACACACACACACGTTAGCATGTTATTTGGGGGCCACGCACAGAAATAATTTTGCTTTTGTGTGTCCTTACTTTCTTATATCATTGTGCACCACTTTCAAATATTAGACAGCTACTTGATATCTAAAAGAGAGCGTTATGTCACATACTGTAGACTGTTTGAAATGAGATCATTCATTTGGGAATCTACATTTTTTTTACACAGCCCTAAATAACGAAAAGTCTGTCCACACCCAGATTGCCTAAGTATTCGCACAGAGCCTTCCTGTCAGCCGTCTGAGTTGCCTGAAGAGCTTCCAAATAGATAAAGAATTCGCAGTGATGATTCATGTCTAAGCTTGAATAGGTCAGTGGGGTACTTACAGGTAGGCTACCCAAAGGACACCGAGTCCTTCACTTCTTCCGTCCACAAGCATTTATTGAACCACTCGTGTGTGCCAGGTCTGGGGGCACAGAAGCGAATGAGACGTGGTCCTTGCTGAGGAGGAACTAGCAGAGCAGAGAGACGGGCACGTACTCAGGTAGCCAGTGTGCGCAGTGTTGGGCTAACCGACTCCGCGGGGCTGGAAGCAACATCAAGTCAGGGATTTTGCCTCGGCCCCTATTGCAATCCTGCTGTATCTACTGCCTTGCATGAAGCAGGTGTTCCAGAAGCCAATTTTTGTCGAATAAATTAGCAGTTGTTAGGAGTACACAGAGAGTCACGAATACAAGATGGGTGACTAGGAAAGCTCTCTGGATGACTGAGCTGAATTTAAGAATTTCCTTCTCTGCCGTCTGTCCGAATGCCCCCACTGGGGTGATGGCACCCTCCTGGAGTGAAGTTGTAGGAATCTTTTGGGTGCTGTCAGGCCCTACAGGGTACTCTACACACAGTCCCTCGCAGACTTGGCTGTCAGTGACCCAGAGTACAGTGTGGGCCTGGTTTCCCTGACAATCTGTACCTCTGTCGTGTGATTTTGCTTGTGAAAAAGACTTTTTATCAATTTAACAAGCCACCGAGAAAGGCAAATATGCAAATTATCGTGGCTCGTGACTCTCCCAACCCCTTCAGTCCATCCTGTGTATTCTCTAAAGAACCAAGGTGGTTTTCCAAAGTGGTTCTGCCTCCAACTGAAGCATACTTGTCTTCTACTTTGAGTTTTGGTCATTTGACCATCTCAACTTTCCTTTCCTTCCTATAGGATGCACTGAAGGCCCAATTGACCTGGTCTTTGTGATCGATGGATCCAAGAGCCTCGGAGAAGAGAATTTTGAGATTGTGAAGCAGTTTGTCACTGGCATTATAGATTCCTTGGCGGTTTCCCCCAAAGCTGCTCGAGTGGGGCTGCTCCAGTATTCCACGCAGGTCCGCACAGAGTTTACCCTGAGGAACTTCAACTCGGCCAAAGACATGAAAAAGGCCGTGGCCCACATGAAATACATTGGCAAGGGCTCCATGACGGGGCTGGCCCTGAAACACATGTTTGAGAGAAGTTTCACCCAAGTAGAAGGGGCCAGACCTCTCTCCACACGGGTGCCCAGAGTGGCCATCGTGTTCACGGATGGACGGGCTCAGGATGACGTCTCGGAGTGGGCCAGTAAAGCCCAGGCCAATGGTAATAAGGGATGGAGGTGTGGTGTACATCACTCTAGGGTCAGGTTTCTTAAACTCACTGGGTGGTCAGAGGTGGTCAGGCCGTGGGTGAGAGTCTCTGAGCTTTGGGAGAGGCTGCCTGTCAAGCGCGGATACCCCTTTCCTGCACTGCCACCTAGAGGCCGTAAAGGGCCCCGTGGGAGTTTCAGGCCGTGGGAGGGAGGAGTCCTGGCGACTGCGCTGGTTGGTAGTCTACACCCCCCACACCTGCGATTTCCTGGCCAGCGTGTGACCTTCAGTGGAGAGGAGCGACTCTGCACGTGCTCTTTAACCACAGACGAAGACACGACCGTTCCCAAACACTGGTCTGGTTGCTTTCGGATGACCTGAAGAGTTTGGAAAAATAGATGCCTGGTGGGAAGAACTTTTACTGATACTTTTTTTTTTTTTTTTTTAAACCAGTGCTTCAGGTGAACACTCCGAAAGCGCAATAGCTTTATGATAGCGAATACCCTTGTGTTTGTAGGAGGCAAAACTTAGCTTTTGAGAAAGTCAAAATGTTGGAAGAGATTATGACTAAGTTGTTACTCAGGAAAGCAAAGCCTGTTCTCTGAGGTTTTCCTGACTCGTGTATAATGTGGGGGAGGGGAGGACTGGAAGTTACTTTAGTTGTGCATAGATGCAGAGTGTGGCAGAGGAGCGTGGCCCTCAGAAAAGGAACCCAAAAGCTAGGATGGTTGGTAGAGCCTAGAGTAAGGCGAAGTGACTGGATTCCTTGGGGAAATGAGAAAACTTAAGGTTTTGAAGCAGTTTGCTTGAAAGCTACTTTCTTCAAGAACTTATTGAGGGTATTTTGCTTTAGCAAGTCTTATGAGTGGGGAAAGGGTATGCAGACCAGGGCTTCGTCTAAGATGTTATGGGCCCAGTACCTAGACCAGGCCTGGCATGTAGTCCATGTGTGACTAATACTTGCTGAGTAAATGAACAAGGAGAGAAAGTACTAGCAATCCTTTCCTAGTGAACTCCATTAGTGAACTCCATTCCTCCTCCCACAAAGGCTGGCTCACACTGACATTCATTGTTTGTGAAGGAGTCCATTTTACTGGTATTGTTTACCTCATTATTGATACCTTTTTCTCTAGCCCAATAGAATAGTAGCCACAAAAGTGTCCTGTTCTGAATCCTCTGAGTGGACTGTAAAAATGGCTGCCATACCCAGTTCCTCTGCTTCCAAACCAGCTTGAGAGCTGACATCAAACCCATTAGCCCACCTAGCCTGCATTTTTAAAGTGTACTGAGGGAAGTATCTTGTCTCCTTTTATTTGTTTCATTGAAATCGGTCTACCTTACTCTTCTCCCCATTCAGATTTCCACCAATCGCCCAAGGGCACGTGGTAGAAGAAACTGATGTTTATTTGGTTCCAAAATCAACAAAATTTACCTGAAGTGATATCCTCTGATGAATTTAATTACCCCTACGCATAACTAATATAATCTTAAAATAGTAGTTATCCTTTTTAGGAAGTTTGCATGAAGTCACTGGGCTCCCAGACAAAGATGTTGAACTTACCTATTGACCCTACACAGACTTAGAACAAGGCCTAACTCTTGCCCCTTGGCTTAAAGAGCCATTTTTATGTGTATTTTTTAAATCCAGCCTAATGAATTAGCCAGAACAAGATATCAGTGCTAAAAAATGTTGAAAATGAGGAGAATTTAAGTTCTTACTGTGTTTTACTTTCAAGCGAAGCATATATGGAGGAAGGGAGTCTAATGATTTCTGTTGTTTAGAAAAGCTTTTGGAGCAATTTCACATCTCTGTTGATATCTAAGGTTGGTACTTGAGTTTATTCTTTCTTTCTGACATGGGGGATTTCCAGTGGTCTGCAGATTTTCCTTTTCAGCTCAGCACGTCCTCATAAGGCTTTGTCCTTTCAAGACAAGTGGGTAGAATGCAGCTTCACCTGCACCCACCCCCCCATCATTAAAGGTTCCTATCCTGTACCTTTGGGAAGTAGAAACTAGGTTAGAAGGTCATAAATTGACCTGCTTCTTAGAATTCTCCCAGAAGAGATTCCCATTTAGTAAGCAATAAGATGGTGCTTTTTTCTACTTTATCCCCAAGGCTAATTCAGGCAAAAGTTGAAGGTTTGTTCCATGACCTTGCCCAGAGCTGAGCAACAGGTTGGTGGTCTAGCTCCCAACCTCCCCTAGATGCTTCACCTTCCCCTTATTGGAACCCTCTCTTTCGTTCATAGGGCCAAAATAAAAATGGTGGAAAGATAAAGGGAGGCTCACCTGGACCCCTCAAGTCACACCACCTAACATCCACCTGGCTTTAGGTGCGTTTCACACAACTCCCAGACCCTGGGAACACAGCTCTAACTACCTTGTTCTTCATTTGCTCTGCAACTTAGGCATAACTATGTATGCTGTTGGGGTAGGAAAAGCTATTGAGGAAGAACTACAAGAGATTGCCTCTGAGCCCACGGACAAGCATCTCTTCTATGCCGAAGACTTCAGCACGATGGGAGAGATAAGTGAAAAACTAAAGAAGGGCATATGTGAAGGTACCGTAGCTGACCTCGAGGAGAGCTCTTCACACAGGGCAGCATGAACCCTTGGATGAGAAATGCTCAACCTATTCCCCCCAAGTGCTCAGAAAAGTGCCTCCCTGGTGTTCAGGGCCAGTAATGCCTGGAAACACTATGCACAAAAAGGGGAACAGGAGAGAGAAAAGACGAAATTAACAGCTAGCACTGCATGAGCACTTACTCTGGGCCCGGCAGTGTGATAAAGATTCTGACACACCAGCATACTTAATCCCCACAAAACCCCTATAGAAACAATCATTTAACTAAGACACAAACATTACACATGTCACAGAGCTGAGGTGCAATTTCAGGAGATGCCTGTAATTGGAGGGGAAAGGGAGGGTAGTCCTTTCAAATGTAAGGAACGCCTGGCTGCAAGGAGTGCTTTGTTTACAGAACACAAGCCTGCCCTTTAGAATCTAGATTTTGTTCTGTCCCAGAGCTCTCCGTGCTAATCTCATTGGGCCAGGATGCTCACATAGAGCAGTTCTGCCCCGGCTCCCTACTCCTGTCCCAGGTTCAGTCACCAGTCAAACCCCAAGCGAAGTGATGTGTTTTACTCCTCTGAAGGAAAGAACAACAAGAGGGAGGGGGATGGGGAGGGAATGCCTTTCAAACTTCTAATGCGAGGAGAGATTTCACCTCTAGGCCGGTTCCTTCAAGCTGAAATGCCTCCTGGAGCTGTTGTCCCTGCAGCTTTAGTCCTTGGTCAACGTGAACCTTTCTCCCACCCCACCTTCTAGGCATGACATTTAGGGGGGCATTCTTAACTAAGAGGCACTTAAAGGGTCCAGGTTTCTCTTACTAGAGAATGGCCCTAGAGTGGTCTTGGATTACCCTGGAAACCAATTGCTTTTTTGAAACTGGTGTTACCAAATAAAACCGAAACACCCTGGGTGACAGCAGGTAGGTGGGGAGCTGGTCTGGGATGGGTTTCCTAAGGAACACACACACATGCAGACAACTATTGTTGGTCATCTTTTCCCTCTCAGCTCTGGAAGACTCTGATGGAAGTCAGGACTCCCCAGCAGGGGAACTGCCAAAGAGGGGCCACCAGCCAACAGGTAAAATTCTAAAAAGCCAACAGGTAACTTTTAAAAAGCCGTGTTTCTAGAACCTTTCTTTGGTGGATGCTTCCAGCATGGTTTCCCCCAGACAAAAGTCATAAAGAAGTGAAAGTCAGTAAGATTTGAATTATGTTAACTATGGCTTTTTTTCCTCAGATAGGAAACATTTACTCTATACTTTAAACCATATTCGGTAATAGCCTCTCTCTACTGACAAGTCTTTTGCCACAGTATGTCCCAAAGTAAAGCTTGTACCACAGCTAGGAATACCAAGTACGTTACTCTGACCGCTGACGGCTTGTTATAAGCACAACTGTGTTAAGCAGGTTTGACTTCAGTTTTCTTTCTCTTTACAGAATCTGAGCCAGTCACCATAAATATCCGAGACCTACTTTCCTGTTCTAATTTTGCAGTGCAACACCGATATCTGTTTGAAGAAGACAATGTTTCACAGTCCACACAAAAACTTTTCCATTCAACAAAATCTTCAGGTAATTCCAAATAGTCTCGCTACCAGGTGGCTCGATACCAGCCTCTTAGCTTGCCACCCAGACTCAGCTGCAAGGAGGAAAGGAAAGGAGGAAGTAGGAGATGGGAAAGGGGAAAAGAGAAGGGCTTAAGTGAAATGAGAACTAGAAAAATTAACTGAAAGAAACTGGAGTAGCCTTCCCTGCTACTTCCCTAACGGCAACTCTCAGTGTTGGAAGCCTATGCAGCCCTCTCCTGGAATTTACTGGATCTGGCTGCGTGGAAAAAGTTGAACATTTCTTTCATTTTGGTTTCTCCCCTATGCTGATTCAGTCTTATTATTATGCATCTGGGAAGTCTGGTGAGTTACAGAGGTGAGTGAACACTTTCCATGTGCTTTCTCAGGAAGTCCTTTGGAAGAAAAACAAGATCAATGCAAATGTGAAAACCTTATCATGTTCCAGAACCTTGCAAATGAAGAAGTGAGAAAGTTAACACAACGCTATATCCTTTTCTAATACTATGCTTGTGTGTGTGATGTGAAAAATTTCACCGAACTTCACAAATAGTGTCCCTATGGGTATGTATTAAATGAAGTTATTTCCATAAAGCCAAGAGTAGTGAACTCCTAGAAAGGCTTTTTTCTTAAGCAACCTGCTAGGTGTTTGAAGGCCAAGGGCAAGCCAAGCTTCGTGGCAAGCTTGGGTCAAACACTTGGTTGCTCTCTGCTGTTCTAGGGGTTTAGCAGTGAGGCCAGCCAGTCAGTATGCAAAGTAAAGAGAAACAGATTTAAAATTTAACTCTCTCTCTGCTGGGAGGAAAAGGAGGATATGTACCAGGTCTGATCGCCATCAAAGGTACAGTAAGTCTAGGCAAAGAATGTAGAATGATGAGGTTTCAAACTCCCATCCAAATTCCAAACCTTTTGGGGGCGCCTGGGTGGCTCAGTCATTAAGCATCTGCCTTCCACTCAGGTCATGATCCCAGGGTCCTGGGATCGAGCCCCACATGGGGCTCCCTGCTCGTGTTCCCTCTTTCGCTGTGTCTCTCTCTGTCAAATAAATAAATAAAACCTTCAAAGAAAATTTAAAAAAATAATAAATTCCAAACCTTCCTTTTGGCCCCAAGCCACACTGCAGCCACAGCTGGTAAGCATGTGGTTTCTAGAGGACTGGGGTTTTTTGTTTGTTTGGCAGCAGAGATCTTTTATATCAGTACTCTAAGATGAAACATTCTATCAAGGGACAGCAGAATCCAGTGATTCATTAAACCAATATTACACATAAAAGGAATGGTTTGAGATAATGGAGAAATGAGGATTCAGTGTTTCCCTACTGCCCGCTGCTCTGAACTCTGAATTACAGTGAGCTTACTAGAGCTGGCTCCTATCTATCTCAACTAGCCTCTGGGGAAAAGGTTCAATTCCGAACTCTCTCTGTGCCGATGGGTTTCTATCATAAGGAACAGATGTAGCAATTCCCTTTCTGAAAGCTGGAAATATGCTCCCCTAAGTAAAATACTCTGACAGTGGTTAATGGAGGTGACGAATCCAGGCTCTCATTCTGCCAAGGGGACTGGTGGAGGGTATTACGGAGCTTACGTGAAAACAGATGCTTGTTCTAATGCCCCTCTCCTCTCCCTTCCCCCACCCCACTTCTGAGGGTCTGCTTCACAAGACAAAGGAAGTTACAGATAAAAGAGCACAGGTCAGAAGTCTTCAAGGCTGCTACCCTTTGGCCCTATCTGGCCTCGCAGGTGAAAACTGCCCAATCTCTTTTCTCTCGTGACATCATCTCTTATTAAGGCCCAATCCTTCTCTTCACTACATTCCCAAAACTGTCACTTCTGGCTTCTAAAGGTATGTTATGGCAAACTAATTTACAAGGAAGACAGGTGTGAGTAGAATTAGAACAAGTTTTTTTAAGAATTTCGGGGCACCTGGGTGGCTCTGTTGGTTAAGCCTCTGACTCTTGATTTCGACTCAGGTCGTGATCTGAGGGTTGGGAGATCGAGCCCCAACCAGGGCTCTGTGCTGGGGGTGGAGCCTGCTTGGGATTCTCGCTCTCCCTCTCCCCCTACCCCGCCTCTTTCCCCCACGCACACATTCTCTCTCAAAAAATAATTTTAACTGAACTACTTCACTTTGATGCTAAAAAGTATTTAACCTGAAAGATTTGTAGTCTTTTTTTTTTAAGATTTTATTTATTTGAGGGGGGGGGAGCAGCAGGCAGAGGGAGAGGGAGAAGCAAGCTCCCCACTGAGCAGGGAGCCCGATGTGGGGCTTGACATGGGGCTCGATCCCAGGACCCTGAGATCATGACCTGAGCCAAAGGCAGACACTTAACTGATGAGCCACCCAGGCGCCAAGAGATTTATGGTCTTGATAGCATGTGTTAAATGGCTTACTATAAACCTTCAAGTCATAGAGTTTAAAAATTTTTCCAAAAGGGAAAAACCAAAGGCTTGTATCTTTCAGGACAGATTTTTATGCAGCTAAATCAAGCTGTATTTGAATGTAAATAAAAATAGGCAATTCAGATTCCTCTTCCTTAATTTGAGTCACTAGAAGAAATGACACAAAGGATGGAAGCCCTGGAAAATCGGCTGAGATACAGATGAAGATTCGAAATGCTCCACGTATTTGTCCATCATTGTATCAAGCGTTACAATGAAAGCAGCTTGAGCCCCAAAGCTCAGGCTATTGCTACATCTATAAAGTTGTAAAGTAAAACCTAACTAGTACTGAGAAAGCTGGTTTGCTATAGAACACAAAGGCAAAAGTACACGCTAACTTGTATAAATTTGAGAAAGTCTTTCAGAACCCTAAAATGAGATTATCAAGTGAGAACAAACAAGCTATGCAAGATATTCTGTAACATACTGTGGACATGATTTGCTTTTGCCTTGTCCCACCTTTGAGTGTTGTGATCTCATTTGACTACAAAATAGTTTGCAGTCTTACTTCTGTAGAACACTGGCTATAGGAAAAGCTATTTTTTTGTATTGGACTTTTATCTTGATATATGTATATGGATGTATGCATAAAATCATAAAACGTATGTACTTGTATAACAAGTTGGATTTTTTTATACAATATTAAAATTCACCACTTCAGAGAATGGTATTCTGCCTAAAATTCCTAGTTAACTTTGAATGCAAGGTATGTGTATATGGGAAATGGTCAATATGCATTTGAAAAAAAAAGTTGAATCTCACTGGCCATCTGGAAAACACAGGTTAAAACCATCAGCTTGGCAAAAATTGGGTGTCCGACTACAGTGTTGGCAAGGATGAAGAAAATGGGGCTCTTGTACACACTACTAGTGAGAATGCAAATGGGCATGCTCTTTGGAGTATAATCTGTCAATACCTAGTAAAACTGAAAATGCACACAAGCCGGCACTCTAGCAGCTGCCCTCACAGGCATCTAACTAGAGGACTTTAGCACATACACACAAGGAGACCCGTACAAGAATGTCACCTGAGTTTGTAAGTCACAAATTGAAAATAACCTAAATCATCATCAGAAAGGGAACTGATAAAATTGTGGTGTGGTCCCTACCATACATTTAAAAGAAATACCATATATTTAAAAGGAAGGCACTAGACCTACATGTATACACAATAAAACTCAAAGATGAATTTTAAAAAGCCAAAGGTAGGGGCACCTGGGTGGCTCAGTCAGTTGGGCAGCTGACTCTTGGTTTCAGCTCAGGTCATGATCCATGATCTTGGGGTCCTGGGATGAGTACTAGAGTGTGGCTCTGTGCTCAGCGGGGAGTCTGCTTGGGGATTCCCTCTCCCTCTGCCCCCTTCCCCTGCCCCAGCTCATGCACTCTAAAATAAATCTCTAACAACAACAAAAAAAAGACGACCCCCAAAATGACATCCTTCCCATGGAAGCTACTGTATGAGGCCAAATGATATTTTTTAAACAGAACACCTTCAATAAGCTTATATTTAAATATTTCAAGATGAGTGTTTTCATCAGACTGTTCTCCCAAAGGGCAGTGTGGTAGAGTGGGAAGAACATCTCCTAAGCTTCAATCTTACCTGCAAATCATCATTCTCTCCAAATATAAAAGTTGTGATCCAAAGTATTAAACCTTCAATTTGTATTTGTATTTGAGTCACGCAATTGATCCTGAACAGGATTTCATTAGTAAGTACTGATTTGGGTTGGCATTACCTTCTGAGAGGTACTCCTAGTTCAGGCATTGCTTCCTTGGCTCAATTGTACTTCACGTTCTGTTGAGTCCCAGCTCCCTCTAGTGGCTCTAGACTGCACCTCCCTACCCCTTTATTTTTAGCCATTAAATACATTTAATCATAGAGTTTTCAACTTTCTTCATCTTGGGGAGAATGCCTTCAAAGGAAACAAAGGCCTCCATCCAATCAGTCAAATTTACATATTAATCCAAGATATTTACTTGAAGATGGTCTAAAATCTGAAATACTTCCTCCTTTTCCTTGTTTTGCTATCTGTATGTCTTAGGTGTAAAGGTTTTACATTCAGGTTTACTGTGGTGACCTTTACAAGCCTTGCTTTCTTCATCTGTCAAATGGGACTAATAGTACTAGCTCACTGGATTGCCAAGAGGATTAAATGGGTTAATGTGTACATTACTTAGTAAAGTATCATTTTAAATACTCAATTATTAGATACTATTGTTTTTATTCTTCAGCAGCCCATGATATCTGACACAAAGATGGTAATTTATGTATATGTTGAGTCAATGAATGAATGCTTTGCTTACCTTATCTAAGTAAAGTACTTTGGCAGATTCCCACTCCTAAATTATCTTTTGAAGCAAACAGGTAGGAGGTAGTAAATTATAGTAAATGTATAGATGTTCAAGACCTACTATCAACAAGATGAAGATGAAATTCTGGCCTAGAAAGCCACAAGCATATCAATGAGAATTAAGTAAATGTTTAAGCCCTAAAAGTCATTATTCACCCTGGTGTTTGAACTCATAAAAGTGATATAAAGTTGAGTCTGTCCTCTAGAACCTTAGTGAGAAACAGGTGTGATTAATGCCACAGAAGTTCTATGGTAACTCAGAGGCACCCAATCTAGACTGGAAGAGGATGTAGGGGTAGGCCTGGAAAAGGAGGGCAAGGGGGAAGGAAACCAGATGCCACTGCAGACGGGGGAGCCCAAGTGTTAAGAGGCAGCTGGAAATAAGATTTGCAAGCAAAGAGAATTGTTTTCCATGAACCAGATCTTCCCAAAGGCTCAACTAATTGCATTCAGGACCAGCCTAGAGTTTGGTTTCTTCATGTACCTTTTGCCCCGCCACGATACCATACCAATTGCAATTAACACACTCCACAATAACCAGCCTCTTTTTTGGGACATTTCTATCTCCAGACCTAAGAGGTAGCTCAGTACAAGTATGGAATAAATCCAGTTGGCTGGAATTTCCTGCAATCCCCCGCATATTAGAGATTCCCAGCCAGACATATTACTTTGATTATAATCAGAAAATAACATTTAAAAATACCAACTTAGGCCTTCCCAGATCTTCCTGGCCAGTGGTATTTTCTCTAATTCTGGCAGCATTTTAATAGCACTTCATCACAGCTGTCCCAAGCCAGAAAGAGTGAGGTTTCCCATCTACAAGCTTTAAACTCCTTTTCTCTGAACTTTAAATTCCTTTATTCTTAAACAATGAGTGCACAAAAAGCACATATAAAGGCAAAAGCTCAATGACCTTATAGCATATTATCACCACATAGAAGCCCCTAGAAATCACAGAATTATTTCCCAGAAGCCATCATTCCAAAATGCCTGCAGCCCAAAGTCCTTCAACAGAACCATTACAAAGAAAGGGTACACTGGTACCTGCAATATCGTATTCTTCAGGGACCCCCCCTTAGGAGATTAAATTGTAACAAGTCAACCTGGAGGGAAAAACAATCCAAAATTAACCCAAATAGCTGCAAGCTCAATTTGAAAGGCAAAATTTACTAAGTAAGTAGAAAATAAGCACACAAACTTTCTTAACCCAAAGACAAACTTTTTTTTTTTTTTTAATTTTTTTTACAAAGACAAACATTTCTAACAACTATGGAACAGACTAATAGGGCATTAGAGACCAGCACGCAATTCTTTTCAAGGACAAATTTTAAGCATTTTAAAACACCTTGAGCACAACAGTCTCTGGATATTAAAATATGAGCACTTTGGAACATTTAACAGATTTTCATATCTCTGTGGCTCTTAACCAGGAGATGCTCCTTTGAAAACGTGGGGTAACATTTGGGGGTATCATTACAACATGGAAAACCATGAGAAATATCCTGCAGTATATCCAGTCCTCCACAACAAAGAACTGTCCCATGGAAAAATGTCAGTAGTGCTCCCAAATTGATAAAATACTGAGTAACTGAACAACCAGTAAGAAAACCAGTTGGTAACAGCTATTCTTCCAATTGTATCTACAACCTCAGATTAACTTCAGACACAAACTAAAATCATGCAATATTAACCCATTCCCTTACCTATAAAACTGGGCATTTGACCCATCCGTGGTTGTTCCATAGTGATTAAAAAGGGAGTCTTGTGACTCCAAGTTCAGTAAATACTGGACGCTGACATTCCATATGGTGTATAGATGGCATCCTCATCTCCTATGTCTCACTCATCTACTATCCAAAACTGCCTACGAGAGCTGAATAAGATCTTAAGTCCAAAAGACATGGTTATTTCTGACACTGTTGCAGCCCGAGAGCCCAGCACAGATTGTGTATATTCTACCAGCAACATTTGATTCTGTAAATCAGGATATATCTAAATCAGTATTTTTCCCAAAATAACTCCTGGAAATGTCCCAAAGGAAGTAACAGATTTGGGAAAAGGATTCCCATCAGACGTATTTGGGAGACATAGTATGCAGTTTCCCAAAAATCTGAATGCCAAATACACTTCAGAGTGTATCTTCTAGGAATAAAATGATATAAAACAAACTTTGGCCAACTGTGGACTTAGCACTTACTGAAGATCTGGGATTCTTCTGAAGTGCTCCAAGTACAGATCTTCTACCTCAACCACTACACACCCTTAGGAAAAATCCGTCTTCATTAAAGTTCAACAGAACTTTTCTCAGACAACACAAAATTTTGGGAGGAGAGTACATATTTCATTTAATCCTCTCTGCTACTCAGATTTGTAGATTTAAGCTGGGATTACAATTCTGGTTAAATTCTGGGTATTGATCTTTGCTGCCTCTCAAACTCAAATATAAAATGCCAACAGTATCAACAATTTTAAAAGACTGTAATCTTTTAAAAATCTAGTAGAGGAAAGGAACTCTGCAGTCCCTTTACAAAAAGGAAAACAAACTGGGACACATAGCTCTTAACCCAAGTCTTGCCACCACATCTAACTGCCTCATCCTCTCAAATCCTATCTTTAGGAAAGTGTATGGAAACAAAAAGATATAAAGAAAAAAACTGCAATGAATACAGTGTTTTTAAAACAAGCTGTGGCCAGTTTTATTAAAGAAAAATTTTGCGTGATTTACTTTTCACCAGTCTGTTCTGGCATGCTTCGAATGATATCAGAATCACCT